TCTATATGGTCTATTAATTAGGACCTGGAATTGTCTTAACTTTCAGAATACAGATATCATTCATCTTCTCTCCCCATTCCACCCGCAAAACACACACCTCACCACACACAACACAATGTAATGCTCTTTTAGAATTAGAAGTCCTGATGATGTAGCTGACTTCTCAGTACTTGTAAAAATGCTGTAAAAATTTGTTATCTGGTTGAATATTAGAAAGCAGGGACTTTTAATCTCAGATCTGTGAACTTTATAGAAAAAGTTACATCTTTATATACCCAACCTCTGGTTTAAATTCAACATTTCTATCTATTATGAATCTAAGTAACAAACCATAGTAACAGCAGTATTGATGACTGATATATGAAATCACAGATATTTTCTTATGACATTACAAATTAATATCTCAATATCTCAAACATCTCAAAATATCTCAATATCTCAAAATACATTGTTTTGTTCAACACTATTTTGAAATTACAGTAGCTCTATTAGGCTGGTAGTTAGTTCTCATTATTTAATGAATTAATAAAGGAGCATATATATGATCATAAACACACTTTTAAATATCTTTTATGACTTTCAGCATAATCATTCTCCTTTGGAGTTCTCTGCATTATATTCTGAATTGAAGCCCATCACAAAAAAGTTAAGCAGCCTTGCTCTAAAGGACTTCACAGGCAGAATGTATGTCTCTTTATACAACTATTATACCTGGAACCCACTGAAATACATTCAAAAAGGCAAAATCAAAAAATTATAAAGACTGGAGAACTACATCATGCCCCAAACAACAAGGACTATTTGCTAAATTCAAAACAATGAGGACCAAATGAAAAAGTGACATCGGAAATCAACTCACAGATGTATACCAGACTGAAAAGGTAGGTGCATTCCTCTGGAAGTAAGAGAGAGTAACGCCACAGGGCCAGGGGCTGCTGTATCCTTCCACCAGGAGGAAGTGCATCTAGGAACCAGATAGACCCTTGCAATTGTGGCGTCCCATGCGCTTTAGCAGTGGCTTCTGGGTTCGAGGAGAAACATGTGGCTGTGACTCAGCTCTTTCTTCTTTTCCCTCAGATTCTTAAATGAAGATGGGAAGTGGAGATTGACCAACTTTGCAACAGTGTATCAGTTTGACCGCTGCGAGAAATACCGCCAATTCCGGAAACACAACGCCCGAGCACTGCCTAACGGCTGACACCCCTTAAGACATAGGTGAGGGAAGAAACAACCAGTAGCACGTCAAAACAGAAGACAAGGCTGAGGAAAACGTCTCCGGAACTATCACATCACCGGGGCTTGCGTTCCCTGAGCTGTCTAGGGGCTTGGCTAGGGTCTGAAAAGCAGATTTCAACTCCTGGCTCTCCGGCAGCAGCCTGATGGGAAGATGGAAAGAGTAACCAGGTAAACAGGAATATTGAGGAAATTCTATCCACAACATGTTTGAGGAATTACAATCTCTGGGAGAATCGGTCCTTGCCAGGGAAAAGTAACTAGAAAAGTCGAGTGTGTTAGATATTTTGGAAGGGAAAAGAAGGCAGAGAAAGAATATGGCAAGGTAAGGGAAAATGACTACATTTTCAAAGAAGATTTAATTAGAGTACAAACACAACCCAAACTTACAATATTTCATAAACCTTCCAAATTAGTAGAGGCAGGCAAGGGAGCAGGAAGTAAAGGAGGACAGAGAGAATATAACATAACAGAAAATGAAGTCTGTTTCTAATTGGAATGAATGCAGTTGGAACTCAGCTAACAAAGGAGACAACTCTCAGAATGGGTGAAATAATTGAACCCAACTATATATCTTTTGTACGGAACACATACAAATGAAATGACTCAGGAATTTAAAAGATATGAAAAAGTATTCCTGGGAATCTAAAACAAGCACAAATGCACAAAGTTTGAGGTTGCAATATCAATATCAGAAAGTCAGTTAAGAGTAAAAATCATAAAATGGAAAAGGGTGATAGCTTTGACAAGATAAACTTGTCAAAATCTTTTGGAAATTGTAATATAATGTCAGAATATTCAATAATGACTGCTCGGACATAAACAGAAATGAGTAGAAATAACTCATGGAAATAACATAATGGAAAACTCATAACTTTTAGTATTTAATATGTCAAATATATGCAAATAAGGAAGATTTATAGGGTCTGAGTAGTGTGATTGTTTTCATAGCTGTGCCCACTCTGTACCTTGGAAACAGAAGAGGAACTTTTGCTAATGCCTATGAAATATATCCTAGTGCTGTTATGCGCTTATTCATAACAATGGCCTCAGTAATTTCTATATTAAAATATTTGTATGAGATCCCATATTTTTCAACTGCTATTTATATTCCATTCACCTACAAAATGTATTAACAGAGACGCCACTGATAGACATGTTTAATTCCAGATCCAAATTTTGGCCATTTCTAAACAGCAATCTTGAGCACAAATGCATCTTGGTGAATTTTTGTGAGTGCACCATTTATGGAAATTTCTTGGCAAATTTCTCAGCAAACTGAGTCAAGTTAATATTGTATTAATAATGATCAAATTTTCCTCCAACCATCATTTGGATCATTTCGATAATTTTGCTAACTAAATTTCAATAAATTTGCTAACTAGTTATTGCTGTTCAACATGAAAAAAATATTTCTGTATTAATAAGTTAGTCAGGAAACTTACTGCATGCACTTATATTTTCTGTAGCTTTCCAGCCAACTCAGTTACATTTTCTAGGTAAACAATTGTATCATCAACTCATAATGGTAATTTTACCCTTTTCCAAAGTGGATTCCTTTTCTTTCTCTCAACTTCTCTCTTAAGTGAAAACCCTGTAGATCAACCAAGATGTGGGAGTAGAAAGACCTCACCTCCTCTTACAAGCACATCAAAATCAATACTTGGAGAGTAATCATCTATGAAAAAGACTGCAACCTATCAGAAAAAGATCTACAACTAAAGGCAGAAAGACAAACCAAAATGAGATAAGTAGGAGGGGCAGACTCACTATATAATCAAGTCCCATCACCTCAGTACCCACAAATTGGAGAATAATTGTAGTCAGTGGTTCCCCTAAGGAGTGAGTGTTTCAGAGCCCCACATTGGGCTCCCCAGCCCAGGGGACCTGCACCAGGAAGACGAGCCTCTCTTCATCTGTGATGTATACATGTGCATGCTGGCCAGAGCCCCTTTACCAGTCTGTCATGATAGTTTCTTCCGGGAGAGGAAGAGGGGACCTTGGGGAAGACCTGGGATGACTTTGAGTGAGTAAAGCAATTAGGCTGTGCCTTGCAGATGCTCACATCTCCAAGGAGAGCTCTACCACAAGTGCCTGTGGTATCAGGGGCACACCTGTATCCCGTGTACCATGCTCTCTGGGTTCCCCATGGACAGGGCCTCAGCCACCACTTCAGCCTGAGTCTCAGATAGTATATATATATATATATATATGTCCAGGTAATTCAAGTGGTTTAATTCTGCATGTGCATTCTCTCTGCAACATTGTGAAACCTCACTATTGGATTATACCATCAGCTGATATACATTACATCTAATTCTAAAACAACAAACATAAAATTTCCCTGCTATACCATGCCATTTCTCTGCTTTCCTTTAGAGGGCTGTCTATTTTGCTGTCTCCACTTCCTTAGCCACAGCATTCAGATGAGAAAAAGAAATAAAAGGTATTCAAATTGGAAGGGAAGAGGTAAAACTGTCATGATTTGCAGACGGCATGATACTCTCTACAGAGAACCCTGAAGTCTCCACCCAGTTAACACTCTTAATCATGACCTCGGACATGAAAAGCAGACTATCACCAGGATCCCAGCAGTTTTGCATGTAGTTTATTCTCATCACAACCTCTTCCTTCCCCTAAAAGTAATGACTATCCTCACACTGGTATAACATCTTCTGTGCATGTCTTTATAGATGTATCACCCATACATGTTTTATAGATTTATCACCCACACATGTTAGTAGACTTTAGTTTTGCCAGTTTTAAAAAAAATTGTATGTCTTTTAAGTCTCTGAATCTAGAGACTCCCCCTCCATTACTCTTCTTTTTCTTTATAATTCATTTAAGATCATTATAAAGCTGTTTGGATTTGCTGATGATATCCTTAGGATTTAGTTCAAAATATTCTCTGTCCTCTGTATTTTTTACAAAACAGTAGCTATATCCAGAGGTTTGACCACATTCACTTTGATCTTTTTAGCAAGACCTTGGTGGTGGTGTGTTCTTGTACCAGGAGGTACAAAACATCTCTCTCTCTTTGTGGTAACAGCCTGATGCTCAGCCCTAGATCTCTTAATTCACTGGGGTTTGTAAAATGGGGATATTCTACATCTATCAATTCTCATTGATGTATTAGCTAAACAAATTCTACAAAGTGACATTTCTCCTACTGTTTACTTACCACTGATGGAGTTTAGAGAAAAAAAGGCACAATATCAGATTCTCCTTTGAACTTTAATGGACCCTTTGTCTCCATCATTTATTTGAAAAACCATTCTAGTCGCGATCATCTTTAAAGTACCTCTTGCCAAACCCATTAATAAATTCTCAGAATCTTACATAATTTGATCCCTTGATAGCATTTGCCATGGGTACTCATTCCCACCTTTTTCAGTTTTCTTCTGAGACACCACATTCTCCAACCATCCTTCCTACTTCATCAAAGGCCCTTCTCAGTTCCCCTTTCAAGAGTCCACCTCTCTTCCTTACTTTTAAATGGCAGAGAGGCCCATACTCCCAAATTCCGATCTCTAACCGCAGTCTCTCTCAAGAATCCTAGGGCAGTACAGCCGCTGGGCTGTATGCCATTTCATCAGGGTGTCTAATAGTTTCAGACTTTACCTGGCCCCCTCTACTCCCCTGAACCTGCACCCCTTATTTTTTACAATCTGTCAGCAACACCAGAGTTTGCTCAGAGGCCATTTAGCTTCTTTCTATCCTGCATCCACAGTTTCAAAATCTGCCCTTAATTGAATCACTTCTTACCTTCAGAGATAGGTGTTTTGTCTTTCTTTAGCCCAGTCTTGAACTTCTGCTTTAGCAAATATAAGGTAGAAGATTAGGCTTATCATGTTATTGCCTATCATCAGGAGGAAGATTTTAACCCAGGGAGATTCTGCATCCTGAGGAATTAAAGTGCAAAAAATTATAAACTACTGTTGTGTTTTGTAACATTTAAAATGTAGTGTTAATATAGGCTTGATGCAGGTGACTTAAACATGCAAAACATTCTAAATTTCACTCTACAGAGATAATCACCATCACATGTAACTTTTCATATGTAAAAAGGACTTGGCATGAATATAGTGCTAAAGCCAAGAATGCATATGGTTTTATATTCAGAAATATCCTGTAAACATTTTTGTATATTAGGAAATATTTGACTGTATCAAACTTTACTGACTAGTAATCCGGAACTTAGATTTATAAAATTTATAAGAGCATCCCTTATTTCTTTAAAGTTGTTTTCACTTTTTGTTGCTGTAAGTTTGAATAAGTTGGTGATTAATTACAAACACAGCAATGCTTTTGAATAAGATTTATCAAATACCCTTATTTATAAAAATGGTTGATACATTTTCTCTTTCAGCCTATTAATATGATCAGTTTCATTAATACATTTTATTAATAAATAGAGCCACTTTACTTTCTTAGAAAAGGGCCTACTTAATCATGATGTTGTACATATTTTAATATATTGGTGAAGTCTATGCACAGGTAATTTATTTTTGGCATCCATATTCAAAGATTACATTAAACTTCAGTTATGTTTCAGATTTGTTTTACCACTTTGCCCTTTACTTTTTGAACAGCTGAGGTTAAATTTTATGCAGTTAAATGCAAAATGCATTGTGATTGCGTTTTGGTCTCTGGTGTCATGCTTTTGAAGGATGGATGTCCTGTCTGAAGTTTAAATAATTATTAACTCCTATTTTACTTTGGTAGCTTTATTATATCCTTTCTTCATTTACATTTGTTATTGTCCATAATTAACTTGGGGGTAAATATGAGAACAGAATGTAATTATTTTTTTTTCAAGTGGGCTCACCACTGTGTTTTTAAAGAAATCAATCCATTCCTTCTGGTTTGAGATGAAACTTTATTATAAAGAATGTGGGTTTTTTTTTTTTTTCAGAACTTGATCAAATCATCAGCAGTTTCATTTAAAATATAATTAGGAGTAGAAGTTGAAAAAAATGTTTCTTGCCAAACTAGACATTAAATATATTTAATTATAATGATTTCTATAATTAAAATATGCTGAATTTGACAGCTAATATGTAAACAGTGAAGAAAAAAAGAATCAAGATGTGTTTAGAAATTTAATGATAATAAAAGTTTTGATAATTTTAAGTTAATAGAATTTATTGTCATTTGGAATTGAAGTCCAACCTAGAAATTTAATGTGTCTCCCTACTAATATTTTCACCAATGTTGCTCAATAAGTGTGCAGTTGTCTTCATATGGACTTTGTACAGTTTTCAAAATACTCATAGGTATTTTGCAATATTAGTTGACACTGTGCTTATTGATTGATACTGTGCTTCAGAGTTTTCCACATTATGTTATCTAACTTTGATTTCACACTCCCACCCCCTGCCAGGAAGATAATCACAATCTCTGTCCATAGTGTTGTATTTTTCCTCTGCACTTACATGGTGTATATCAATAATTTAGTCTTCTTGACAGGTGTGTTTGCTAGCATTTTCAGAATGCTAAACAATAGGATGGCTAGCAATACGCTTTTATTTTTCCTGATTTAAAAGTATATGAGAATAAAACTACTAATAGCTGTTATGCATTGCATGCAAACATCTAATACTCCCATTAATGATCTGATGTGGTAATTACCTTAACTCCATGAAGTTTCTGTGTCATCTTAGGCATTTACAGCTAGAGACACTGAGATTAAGAAGTGTTTACAGGTCACATATCTTGTAAGTAGATAAGACTTGAACAAGATAGTTTTTTTGCTGGAGAAATTGAAACTCCTAAGAAACTGCTAGGCCTTCCCTTGTGGCTCAGCTGGTAAAGAATCTGCCTGCAGTGTGGGAGACCTGGGTTCGATCCCTGAGTTAGGAAGATCCCCTGGAGAAGGGAAAGGCTACCCACTCCAGCATTGTGGTCTGGAGAATTCCATGGACTGTGTAGTCCATGGGGTCACAAAGAGTCAGACATGACTGAGCGACTTTCTTTTTTTTTTCTTTTTTTTTTTTTTTCTTTTTATTCACATTCACACATCTGTTCATTTGTTTAGCAAGCATTTACTGAGTTAGGCACCGGGTGCTGTACTTGGTGCTAAACAAGACAGATGGAGCTCTGCTCATGTGCGATTCACCTCTGGCTGAAGATACAACAGACTTACAAGAAGAAAGTAGTTGCAAAATCATTAAGAGCTCTCTGCTGGAAACATACAAAAATGGTGAGAAGGAATAACAGAGGAACACCTATAGAGCTAAGGCAGCCAGAAAACAGCTGTTAGAAGAGGGGACATTTAAGCTAAAACCGGAAAGATAAAGAGCCAGCTTCCTGAAAAGCCACAGGGGGACTGATCTGGGCAGAGCAAGAAGCCCTAGGGACCAGCAAGGGTCCAATGTGGTCAGACGGGACAGTTCCGGGGTGGGCCTCACAGGGAGTGGTGGGAGAAGATAGGGAGTCTGAGTTTTACTTAAAGGGTTTTAAGAAGCCACAGGGGAGTATTAAGCTGTAAGATCCAACTGGTACTTTTATTTGTAAGATCATTCTGGCTACTGATTGAACAGAGTAAGGAGGAGACGACCAGGAGGCTTACTGGCTGTAAGCAAAAGATGATGGTGTCTTCAGACAAGGGTGGTAGTTGTGGAGATAGAAAAGACACCTTGAAGGTTCCTTGTGGGGCTCAAAATAAAATCCAAACTCTGAAAGCTGATTTTCAAGGTCCTGACAGAGATAACCCCCCTTCCCACTTCCAGCTCATCCCTGATATTCCTCAAAATAAGAAACCCTCAAAGACTTTGCACTTGCTGTTCCTCTCTCCATGGAAGGCTCTGCCTTCCAATAGTTGGCACCTTCTCATCTCAAATGTCTTCTGCTCAAAAAGGCCTTCCTTGACCACTCAATATCAGCAGCCTCCATTTCCACTCTCTCAAGTCACTATAACTCTCTGTAAATATTTCCTCCTTGTGCATTGCATGATGCCTCGGTAAAAATAACCTTCAGTAAGACACGACCCCATTTTGGATACCACTGCATCCTCAGCAACTAACACTGTGCCTAGCACATAAAGAATATTTGTTGAATGCATACCGGTCTCGGGGCGCTAGAACTAGGAGAGAGGGAAGGGCAAGGTTTATGGTAAAAGGCGCGGGGGGGGGGGGGGGTGGGGTGCTCTAAAGACCCAGAAAAATGTGTACAGGGAGTCAGAGTGCAGTTCGGAAAAGCAGCTTTTCCAGAAAGTGGGATAGAGGCCAGGAAGGAGCTACTACGAAGAGGGGGCGCAGAACAGCCGAAGGTTGCCGCTGGCTCGGGGAGCGGAGCTTGGAGCAGCCCTTAAGGCGGTTAGCTCGGAAAGCAGGTGCAGGGCAAATACCAGCGGTGGCCTTTGAGGAAAGCCTGGCGTCCTCACCAAACCAGCGGTGGGGGCGGGGAGGATAACTGGGTCTCAGGGTGGGGGTGGGGGGTCCCAGGAGACTGGGGTGGTGCAGAAGCCGCCTCTTCCAGACGCCTGGAGGCTGAGGCTAAGGGCCAACGGGTTGAGATAGGCCCGACGGGATGGCGAAGCAAAGACGCGTAGCCGGAGGACCCAGGCGGACGCTTGAGGGAAGGCGGGGGCTGTTACCTGCAACATCCCGGTTGTCCATCTTGAGACTCATCCAATCCCACAATGCTCGACTGAGCGACTTTCACTTCACTGTTAAGTAGCTGATTCTCAATGTTTCTAGTATTTTTATGTAAATGTTTTTTTCCGTGATATCATCATCTTTGGTTAATGTTTACTTCATCTTTTTATGCTCTTCTTACAAGTTTCAGTGTTTCTATGTCTATTTTAGGTATGTGTGTTATATATTTATTTTTATTTATATAATATTTATGTATTTTATATAAATAATTTCTCTATGAGGTATGCAACTGTGGATTTCTGTTTATCCTACTTGTCATTATTGGGTTTCTTAAAGGTGTGAATTGCTGTCTTTTTGTAAAACTAGAAAACAATCATTTTTTCTTCAAATTTAACTTCTGTCCTATTCTCTTTTCTGGAACTCCAGTTAAATGTATGTTGGGCCTTCTCCCTGAGTCCACATATTCTATACCTTCTATATATTTTTAATGTGATTCACTCTGGATAGATCCTCCAGAAGGGTCAAGATAAAGTAAGTTATACTACAGATATTAATAACCCCCCCAACCCTTCACAAATCCTAGTGGCTTTTAATGGCAGAGATTTGGTTTTTATTTAAACCAAAGGTTCATAGTCAGCTTCCCCAGTGACTCAGTGATAAAGAATCCATCTGCCAATGCAGGAAATGCTGGTTTGATCCCTGGGTCAGGGAGATCCCCTGGAGAAGGATGGCAACCCACTCCAGTATTCCTGCCTGGGAATTCCCATGGACAGAGGAGCCTGGAGTCACAAAGAGTTGGACACAACTTAACAACTCAACAACAACAACAAGGTTCATAGCAAGTTGGCTAGAGATCATGCTCCATGTCTCTTCATTCCTGGCTCCTGGTTGATGGATTTGCAGTTGCTATTCTGACTGTTGCCAGTTGCTGTGTCAAAGCAAGAAAGCAGTCTGTTGATTCTTAATGCTTGTCTTCAGAATGAACACATATCACTTTTTCTCGTGTCACTGGTCAAAATAAGTTATATAAAATACATCTAACTTCAAGGAAATGGGAAATCCCCAAGAGGAGAACAAGAAAAATTCCTGTATCTGCAATAATTACTTCCCAGCCTGCCCTCTGTTCCACAAATGGATTCACTTACCTTCCTCTATGCCAAACACACTAATCAAGAGGGACCACTCCACAGGCCCTCCAGCCCTACCTTCACTTGCTTCAGAGCCTCATCGAAGAATATTCAAATATTCATCAGGACGCTCTCAAACTGTCTGCCTAGCAGTGTGTTATCAGCATTGGTGTATGTGTGTGTTCATTCGCTCAGTTGTGTCTGACTCTTTTGCGATCAACTGTAGCCTGCCAGGCTCCTGTGTCCATGGGATTTTCCAGGCAAGAGTACTGGAGTGGGTTGCCATTTCCTACTCCAGGGTATCTTCCTGACCCAGGATTACGCCCACGACTCTCACATCTCCTGCAATGGCAGGTGGATTCTTTACCACTGAGCCACCTGGGGGTTGTGTCAGCATAACTAAGGATCTGTGGTTTCTGTTTGTCTCCCAATCCTCCTTTTCTGAAAGGAAATCTTTATTGCAGCTATTGAATTGCTATGCTACCATTATATACAGCATGATAGAGCATGTAGCCCCTGGTATAGAGGGTTCTCTCCCAATGAAGGGGTGGACACATTCTGCACTTTGAACTTGATGCCATATCTAGATGGGACTTTGGGTGTCTGTTGATTTCCTTATAGAAGGAGTAAAATTGCTGTGCATGTAAATTTTTATACATTTTCAGGCCTTTAAATTGTCTTAAGAGAATTGGTCCAAATTCCTTACCTTTCCCATGAATGGAACAAGAAACCTCACAAATTCTCTTATTAGATGTATTTAATCTGAATTTTTAATTTTATATTTTTAATTGCCAGAAGTTAGATTTAGCTCTTTGTTAAACCTTATGTTTTTTATAAGTTCAATCCTTTTAGTTCTTTAAATGTATACATATATGTCCAATATCTGACCTGATACTGTGGTTTTTATTCTTCTCTCACATGACATTTCATTTCCTCAAGCATTTTGTAATTTTTGATTGATTGTGAAATCATATTCACCAAAGCTTTATGCATAAGAAATTCTGGAGGATGAATTTTAGGGTTAGTTTCTTCAGAAAAAAAAATTATTACTTTTTCTAGACATCTGTGGACTACTTGAAATTAATTTCTTGGCTTATGGCATTAGGACCCAACAGAGTTTGAATCAGGGTCTGAAATCCTTGTGAATGGTTTATTGTTTCAAACATTCCAAGGAGTCTTTATTCAGATTCCCCTCTCCCTTTGTAGCTGAGGTGGAGACACATAAGTGTCCTTGCTGGGCAGAGACAACTTCAGACAGTTCTGGAGTCATGTTTCTTGCCACATTTTGGGAAAGTCAGGTCAGAAGGTCCAAATGAGTTCATTGGAAGGCTGAACTGGCTGAGTGGGCTACATGCTCAGGAGGAGAAAACACATCCTGGTCTCTAAGAGTTCTTTTTTATTGAGGCCACCTCTCTGACCATGGAGTCTCCCTGGTTATAGTGATGTTTTCAGCCTTTCTGATACCATAAATCCTAACACATGATGGTGGGGGGCTGCCAAAGTTGTGGGATAAGGAGCATTTGGAGGATTTTTCTGTATACTGCTATTTCTCAGCTTGTAGATACATGGTAGTAGTGGTACCGGTTTGTAGTCCCTAGTGATTACAATTTTGTCAACATTTTCATTTTGGCTCTTCTTTGTGAGTGGTTTTGGGGGTATTATTGCTTGTGTCTGTTTGTCCATAATAACTGAAGCTATAGATCACCTAGCATGGGCAATTTCCCCAAGGCAGCCAGTGGCTTTGCTGGTCATTTACCTCTCTGGAATCAAGCCCTTCCTTCATTTTCAGTCTCTGAAATTTTCCCTTACATTTTTTTTTTCAAGGTCAAAGTGAAAGTGACCTCAGTCGTGTCTGACTCTGCGACCCCATGGACTATATAATCCATGGAATTCTTCTCTAGGCCAGAATACTGGAGTGAGTAGCCTTTTCCTTCTCCAGGGGATCTTCCCAACCCAGGTCTCCTGCATTGCAGGTGGATTCTTTACCAGCTGAGCGACAAGGGAAGCCCTTTTCAAGGTCAGGCATGCCTTTAACATGATTATTAAAATTTGATAAGGCACTTAAATTTCTTTGAGTATATATTATTAGGTTCTGGAACCAGAGAATTCATCAAATTATGTTGGCAAAGATTGTACAGCCATTTGAATCCAGCTGGCTGGCGAAAGTATATTCAGTTGTTACAACAGTCATCGTATCAGAACAATAACCTGGTCAAAGATAAACCAAGCTAGCAAATAGTAAAGTGAAAGTTGCTCAGTCATGTCCAACTCTTTGCAATCCTATGGACCATACAGTCCATGGAATTCTCTAGACCAGAATACTGGAGTGGGTAGCCTATCCCTTCTCCAGCGGATCTTCCAAACCCAGGAGTCAAACCAGGGTCTCCTTCATTGCAGGTGGATTCTTTACCAATTGAGCTAACAAATAATAAACTTATTATTAATAGTTAGTGCGTAGATAATCTGTGGCTTAAGAAGAAAAGTCAGAGGAAATGTGATGGTTGAGGAGTGGTTTCCAATGATCACCTGAGTGACTATAGTGATTTTGCCCCCAGGCAAACAGCTCTGGGAATTGAGTTTCTTTACATGATACTATCAATTTATACAATATTCCTTCAGAATTGCCCATATATTTATCATCTCTGTTGCCTCTTTTCCTTTTCATATCTCTAATCTACCATTTGGGATAATTTTATTTTTCCCTAAAAAAACTACCTTTAGCTTTTTTTTTCTCAGTGCTAGCTTACTTTTGGTGAATTCTGTTTTGTTTTTTTTTTGAAAATGGATGCATTTAAACTCCATTTTTTATGGTGGATTTTTTTTTTTGGATGGACTATAGAATTCTAGACTAGCAATTATCTTCCTTCAACACCAGAAAGGGCATTTTAAGTATTTTTAAAAGGAGAATTTCAAGTGACTTTGTCCAGGGAAACAGAAGCCAGCCTTCATAGAATTGTTTCATTTGGTCATTTTAAACTTGTCTTTGTTCCTGATTTTTCATTCCTTTCCTAACAAAACTATGTCTTATTACTTATATTACCATTTACCCAGTCAACTAATTATTTTGATCAAGGCACACATTAATTGTTAAAATAACCAATAGTTAAAGTTACCAGCATAATTAGTTGACATATTACAAGAAAGAAATTGTATCATCTGTGAATTTGGAGGCAATGCCTGATTTGACCAAGTTTAATATGACAGAGAATCTCATAACTCACCTCTTGATGATGTCTCCTCTGCAATTTTTTTATATGCATTACCTTCTTTTTCTGTACAATTAATATTAGAAAAGTAACTACCCATGTCTTGATGTTCCTTACCTCACTAAGGATGGTTCCAGTCACAGTGGAAGAAATGAGTCCTCCTGTTAGTCCAATTACATTTGTAAGTCCTCTAAGAAATCCATAATATCTATACAAAAATGAATGACAATACACAAATGTAAAGTAATACAAATGCTACAGGAAAAAACATAATGTGTTGAGAGTTTAAGAAAGAGAACTGTTGACTTCCTAAATTTCCCATTCCCACTATTCAAATTCCATTAAAATGTCTGAAAAAGTATATGGATATATAAGTAACTTTCTGGTTGCACTAGAGAGTCAGAAAGCTTGGCTTTAACAGTAAAGAACATTAATATATTGAGAAAATGAAAGCATATTAAGAGTGAAACCCAGCTAGTTGTAAAATCTATGTTTGAGGAATTCCAAAGTGATGTGTGTTGGTAACAGGAACTGGTTTGGGATTAATAAAAATTGAAGGGTTCTGTTCACCTGGCCTCTTCTCACCGTCCCAGAACTACTGGCCCCAGTGATTGTTCCCAGGCAAGGAGCAATGATTACTCAGGCAAGGAAAACAGAAACTTGTTTATAAGCAACTGTGATTGGCCAATCCTGGGTGCCAAAACCAACCTCAGCAGAAAATGAGCACTGCAGAAAGCAGGCGAGCCACAGGGAATAACACATAAAGTATCAATCTTCAAGAACAAGGAAGTGCCTTTTGGAGAACAGAATCTGTCTAAACAAGAAATTAGTTCACTTCAGGACAGGGAGTCTGTGACTTTCCTGCCCAACACATTTCACCACCAAAGGCTGTGTACTTTAAATTCTTCTCTTTTGTGAGAGGGCTTTTTGTCTTTTATTTCCTTGGGTTTATTCTAATCTTTCTCTACCTTTACATGTTGAGTGTGAGGGGGAGTGTATAATTTATTAGTTTATGGGTTCCTGATCAAAGAAGCATCACATCTGGGCCTAGAGTCCTTGGTTGTATGCTTTTTGCTCTGGTCCCTCTTGCACCAGTTGAAGAATTTCACCTGAAATGCACCTCTGGCCATCCCTCTTAAGGTCGGAACTACAATGGTATTTGATCATCTTTGAATCTCTGACTTTTGTTTTGATTCATGAAACATTCTTGGCAAGTGGACCTAGAGTCCCTGGATTGTGGAGGTGTATGTAGTCACAGGGTGGAAATTTGATTTGTCTCTTTTTGAGGGGAGCTGGAGAGTGTCTTTTAATATGTGAAGAAGAACATTTATGGTTATGAGCAGCCACAGGTCCAGATTGGGCAGAAACCATCAGTTGTCTGCAGTATTCGTTGCTTCCTTTTTAATTTTAGCAATAGAATCCCTGGGTTTAGGGCCACTTCTGCCTTTGGGAGCTCCTGTCACTTTTGCCTTCAATAAATGTTTATAATATTTATCATATTGTTTACAATATTCTGTTGCTTTATTATGTGCTAAAACTTACTACAATGCACCCTTTTTCATTTCTTATATTGGTAATTTTTTTCCTTTTTCTTGATCTTATTAATTTTAAAAGAAGCAACTTTGATATTGTTGGCTTTATGTTATCATTTTGGTTTTTTTTGGTCCTCATCTTCATAATTTCTTCCATTCTACTTTCTTTGGGCTTAATTTGCTACTTTTTTTCCTTACCTACTTGAGATACAAACATGGTTACTGATTTTAAGACTTAATTATCTGTCAGTATATAAGTTTAAAGCTATACCTTTCTCTCTGGGTATGATTTTTAAATGCACCCCACATGCTTATCAATGATATGTCACATTTCATTGTAATTTAAAGTATTTTCTAATTTCAAATGTGATTTCTCCTTTGACCTAAACATTAATTTCAAAGCAATGGGAGTTATCTATTGTTTGCTTTTGATAGCAACCCTAATTTCACTATCTTTTGCTTTTGCTAGCAACCCTAATTTCACTGTGATTAAAGAATGTATTCTGAGTGATTTCAGTCATTTAATCTTAATTCAGTTTGCTTTATGATTCAGCAGTCCCCAGTGTCAAGAGTCCTGAGTGCCATGACAGTTCCTCTGAAAATCATTGCACATCCACAATATGGAGTGGTTCACCAACCTGTGATTGGCAAGGTGAAAGCTTTTTATGCTGCATTCCTCATGCCATCCAAACCTCAAATGGTAGGTACTTGATATGGGGAATGAAAACAGTCTTGAGATGGTTTTAATGCTGGACAATTCCCTGGACAGCAATTAGCTCTAAAATTGCTCAGTTGTGTCCAACTCTTTGCGACCCCATGGACTATAGCCTGCCAGGCTCCTCTGTCCTTGGGGATTCTCTGGGCAAGAATACTGAAGTGGGTTGCCATACCCTCCTCCAGGGGATCTTCCCAACCCAGGAATCAAACGCAGGTCTCTCACATTGCAGGTGAATTCTTTACCAGCTGAGCTATCAGGAAAGCCCTGAGATTGTTTTAATGCTGGATGATTCCCTGGACAGGAGTTAGCTCTCAAATTGCTTCTTCAACTGTAACATCACATGGTAAAAGCATTTTGGAAGTATAAATAGCTGCTGAAGCAGACTTTCAATTTAATTGATTTTATATTTTGGTTTAATAATGATTCAGTAGAACCAGAACAAGATTCAGATGTCTAAACTATACTTTAGTCTTACATGGAGGGAAATTCAAGAGTGCATGACCCATCCATCAGTCAAAAATAATTAAAAAACGTTTTGAAACCTCCCTTTAAGAATGTCAAGGGGATGACAGTGCCTTCTTAATGCATCACATAGCATCTTTAGAATCCTCTGTGCTTTTCTACTCTTGCTACCCACCAAAGAGATGGTCACTACATTTCCAGGTCTGCTCTGTCTCACTCCATTTCCCAAACAATATTCTCATAGAACCGCATCTGTATCTCTTCTTCTTCCTTCCAGAACTTCTTTCTTGTCATCTTGGTTCTACTCAAACAAATGTAATCATTTGCCCATTCCTCAGGTCTAGCAAAGATCAAATTCCTCTAAAAGGAAAATTTAGTAATTTATCTTCTAAGGGAACTCTTTTTAATAGGCAAGGGAAATATATGACTAGAAACATTAGGAATAAATTTCATTTAACTCATTAATTAAAAAGTTTAAGAATTGTTTGTGACAAATGTATTATGTCAATATGTTTGTGACATAATATATTAATACATATGCCCTAAATATTAAGGATGATCTAGCTTAAGAGGCTAATAATATTTCCAAATTGTATATTAGTCTATCTTCTATGACCTTACAAAATTACCTGGCTAACATCGAATTTGGACCCCCTGGAATGATGCAACACTGGTCAAGTTCTGTGATATCTAAGCCATTGCTGGCCAAGATATTTCCCATCCTACTGACTAGGTACTGGTGAATAACACTAGGGAGGCATTGACTACATCTAGGCATCTCTGGAGGCAGGCAAATCTAGGTATTAATCCTCCTTCTACTTATTACTAATCATATGACTTTACATACATTCATTTCCCTGGGCTTTGGTTTCTTTTCTCATACTTTGTGGACAATATTATCTTACAGTGGGGCATGTCACATGAAAAATAATAAATGGTTGTTCTTGCTGGTTAGTCACCAAGTCATGTCCAATTCTTTTGCGACCCCATGGACTTGCAGCCCACCAGGCTCCTTTGTCAATGGGATTTCCTACCTAAGAATATTGGAGTGGGTTGCCATTTCTTACTCAGAGGATCTTCCTGACTTGGGGATCGAACGCCCGTCTCCTACATTGGCAGGCGGATTCTTTACCACTGAGCCAACAGGGAAGGCCCCCAAAATGGTAGCTATTTATAATTTTCTTAATCTGTAGATACATTTTTAATTTACCTGGTTCTCAGAGTGCATATGGCCCAACTGGCATTGTGTATTCTGTAGCAAATAATCCTTTTATGTCTTTATATAATTCCAAGTAGCCAGAAAACTTGCAGGCATTTTCAAGGAGGGTCTCAAAACTGAATAAATCAAATGGATACATGTCTTTGTTACTTTGGCCTTCACCTAGTGTAGATCTGATGGACAAGATTCTTTACAAAATTGTGACAAATTAGAATATTCTTGGTTGATCTTTGCCTCTCTACCCCAGGCTGCAGATGTACAAAACTTCAGAGAATTCTGTTCATATTGGATCTATGTTCTCCAGAAAGTGCCAGCCCTGGACAGTGTCCCCTGGAATTGTGCAAACAACAGAACCGCTTCCATCAATCACACTTATTATATCTAAAAAGGGTATAGCACAGTAAAAAGAGGAAAAGTTTTTTGCCAACCAGATCTGGATTAAAATCCTAGGTAATATCCAAGCCAGTGGTGAGATCTTAGGCTGATAATCAAGTATCTGAATGTCAGTTTCCTTAGTTGCAAAATAAATATTTCTAATTGTTGGTTGAGGAGTGATAATATATACTTTTTATGTCTGACCTGTATCAATGCTTCTTCAGATTGTTTGGCCTGTTGACCATCAATTCCAAAATAGTTGAAATCTTAAAAGTTCCTTGAGTACTTAGATACAAGAAAGATTTTAAAAACCTACCTGGGAGCAATATCCACGAGATTTATCACTAGTCCACCCATAGCAAAGCTTGATGTTGAATTAGCAAGTATCAGGAAAATTATAGTGCCATAGAAGTCGGAACTCAGGTAAAGCAGGCAGAGGCTGAAGATGGAAGGCAGGAGAAGTCCTGGGGAATGATTCAGACAACAGTCAGGTGCATGCCAAAGATGGGGAATTCCCCCAAATACTTGAACATATTGGCTATTTCTTACCTAGCAAGGTGAAGAGTTTCCGGATGGTGATTAGACTGAAAGTATTCCTTGTCTGGAAGATGTCTGCCATATAACCTGCTAGGACAGCAAAAATCCAGGCAAACAAAAGGGGGAGGGAAGACAGCAGCCCATTCTGAGGAGGAAATGTTATTGTGAGTGAATATGAGAAATGGAATAATCCCTACACTGAAATTCAGTATCAAAAATTTGTATTATCACACAGGAAACAATCAACATGCAACCCCAGAATTATTTCATGCTACCCAAGAGAAAGAGAAAAATAGTTTTGAGGTCAGAAATAGACATCACAATCTGCTTAGTTTTCTATTGCATTATCTTGGGACCTGAAAGTTCTAGATGGTAGAGAGGAAAACTAAGTTGGGGATGGGAAATGCTATCCATGAGGAAAATGACAAATAATAATGATAATAGAAGACATGTATATGGTGCTTATTCTGGACCAGCTGCTGTTAATCTTTGCAACAAATCCGTGGTCTAGTGGAAGATTACACTGAATCATACAGAGCTTAAAAGACCTTAGTGTCACGCTAGTTCCTAGGCTGGGTAGTTGGAAGTTCATTATAGAATGTCCCAAAGTGGCAAGCCCAGACTCCATTGCTAAAGGAGTCTTTCCTAGTTATTATGGCATCAAGCAACAGAAGGTTTCAGGCATTTGTACTTTTTCAAGTCAGAAAAGCAATGAGAATGCCAGTCCTTTCAGAGCAAGATACGAGTCATGGGTTCACAGGACTCTTTGCCTCTCCCCTGTGGAGAGGATTGGTATGAGCTGTGATGGGTGGTATACTCTGGCCAGTTGACTTTCAGGGGAGAATCCCCATCCCTGCAGGGAACAATGGTATTGAGCTAAGGAATACACAGAGGTTATTATTACAGGGAATGGGAGATAGGGAATCTGTGGGAACCTGGGTGGTGTGTATTTTTGTGCGAGTGCTAGAAAGGATGTCTACACCTTTCGTTCTGGGCACTGTTAACATAATAATTGGAAATGGTAAAGTCTCTAGGTAAAGAACATCAGCTAAATATTATGAGTGCTAAGTCGCTTCAGTCATGTCCGACTTTGAGACCCTATGGACTATATCCTGCTAGGGTCCTCTGTCCATGGGATTCTCCAGGCAAGAATACTGGAGTGGGTTGCCATGTCCTCCTCCAGGGGATCTTCCTGACCCAGGGACTGAACCCATGTCTCTCTGTCTCTTGTATTAGCAGGCAGGTTCTTTACCACTAGCGCCACCTCAGAAGCCCAAATAGTATAGGGATGGGCAAGAGCTAGAACTAGAGTCATGGGATAAAAAGACATAGGCACAAAGTCCTTCATAAAGTGAAGAGGAAAAGGTGTATTTACCTCTTTTACACCGACTTGAAGCTTGTAGTCAATATATATTGGCATATAAATACTCAGGAAGGTATTTGACCAGAAAAAAGCAAAATTACAGAGGGAAATGACCCAGAGTGGAACAGACTTCAGCAGAGCTTTGATGGGCACTTTGATGGGTGTACTCGAGCTGACCTGGAAGGGAACCCATTAATCATTAGCACATTGGGTCAAGCTGGAACACATTTCATTTGGCACAGAATCTGGGAGATACCAAAGTGGAGCATGCGGGTTCTACCTGCTGGGTGAGAGCGGATGTGATGTATTCCTTCTCTCTGATGCTTATATATGGGTGGTCCTTTGGGTCCTCATAAAACAGAATGAACCAGAGAACACTTAAGGCACAGCCACAAGCACCTATCAGAGCAGGACAAATTAGAATTGAAATTGCTCTGTCCGTAGTGAGTTTCTTTTCCAAATTGGCATTTTTCATTACTGGTCTGAGAACCTGGACCTCCTCTTTCTTTTTGGAACTTTGCAACAAGGCTTAAATTTTTCATAATTTTCTTTGTATCCACACCTGCCTCTTCCAACAGAGTGAATTTTGCAAAAATGGTAGCAACCCCTCTGGCCTCTCCTGATTTCTTAGCTTCTATTATTTTCCATGTAGGATAGCTGGGCCTCCTTGCTCTTAGGCCATCGTCTCTACAGATTCTTAATGTGTTCTACTGTGAGAAGAGGGTATAACTGGGCTCATACAGGGCTTGACAATCACCTGGTTTTGAGAAGTAGTCCTGGGCCATACTCCTAAGATGGAGTCTAGGCCTTCAGGATCATCCAAGTCCTATAAGAGTCTGCCAAATTGTTTGCTGCTTTTGAGTTTTTTATACTAATGATCTGATCATAAGGAATCCTCTGTTAGGATAGGGAATGTGTATTGCTTAGTAGTCAGGCTTCCAGAAATGCATTCATTCATTTGACAAATACACTGGTTAAATGCCATTAGGTACCATGTACCATTCTAGGTCATGGGAATGCAGCAGTGAATAAAGCAGACACATGCCCTGCCTTTACAGAGTTTACTTTCTAATGGATGAGAGAGATAGTGAATAGTAACTAAGCAAAAGGTAATAAATGTCAGTGACAAGAGCTAGGGAAGAGAGTTATGGGGAGAGGAACAAAGGAGCACTATGTTCAGGGAAAGTGAGGACACCGATGTGGGCACAGATACTCTAGGCTGAGGGAGAAATAAATGCCAAGGCCCAGAGTTATGAAGCCAGTGTCACTGGACAGGGAGCAAGGTGAGGTTGGTAATGGATGAGGATGAGAGGTAATGAGATCAGACCATTTGGAAAGCTGGAACCATTGTAGGATCTCAGACTTTGGCAACACGCTTTAAGACAACATTAAAAGAATAGTTTGACAGAATACCATTTCCACCTCATTCTGTGACCTGAGTGCCCAAACCCAAGGCAAAATGTAAATAGACATGAACACATAATAAATACACAGGAAATACAATATATTTCTCTAAATTACTATAGTCAATCCTTAGAAAATTCATTTGATGCTACTATCTTTCTTTCAATATGGGAAAATGGTTCTCAGAAAGGTCTAATTACTTGCTCAGGGGCACATGGTTAGCAAGTGGTAACTGACACTTAAGCATGGATTATATTGTCTAGAGAGGGAAAATAGCTGTAGAGGAGACTGGAGAACAGCTTTGAAGAAAGACAACAGTTAGTGGCAAGTAGAAGAGGAGAATCTCTGCAAGTCTCTGCAAAAGAGACTGAGAGGAAATGGCCAGAAGGATGAAGTCCAATGCAGGGAGAGCAGGACCACAGCAACTGAGATGAGAAGGAAATGCCTGATCTCCGAGGTTCAGCGCATGGAGTCAAAGGTACAGGCACCAGGGAAAGAATGGTATTGTTGGGTTGATTGATGGTACTTGTTCAGGTCAAATGTGGACTGAAGAACTTCAACTTGATTTATGGGCATCGAGTCTTGGACAGTTCTAACATTTGGGAGGCATATAAGGAGCTTGGAAGCCATCATCAAATGTTGAACAAACTAAACATCAGACAATGCTTCTTTATCTGGCAGAGAATTGAGGTCACAGGGCAAACCACTGCCCCCAAACCACTGCCCTCCTGTCTCTAGAGAGACAGACAGACAGATGCAGAGAATTACAAGTTTCCAGAACAGAAGCCCAGAAACAGAAAATTCCAATGGAATCAGTCAGTAGTAGGGTAGAAAAACCTAGCATTTGATGGCTTACCATAGGTTCAGTGTGGACAACTTTGAGAGATGAAAAATATGGGTGGGAGGGGGCCCAGGCCTAAGCAGACCCCTCACACTTTTGTGAGTTTTATTTCCAGAAGACCTGCCAGATTCTCACAGTGAATATAAGAAGAAAATCTCTTAATCCTTCTAGGAGAGGATGGGGAAAGTAGCCATTTTTAATTACATCTAGAGCATTCTGTTCTTCACAAAAACTACTCAAGGGGAAATTATTTTACCAGAGCCTCACCAACTTAAGGAAAGGGAAACACCCAACTCCAGACCCTTCTTCCCGTCTCACTTAAGGAGGGGGAAAAAAACAAAACAGAACTTGTGAAGCTCCGGGGCGCAGGCTCACCAAAACCCTGAGACCAAATCATTGACCACAGAACACTTTCTCCCAACATACACACCTTACCACCATATCAGAAGAATCCTTGCATGTTAGTGGGAATCCATCTAGAACTGCATGTTCCAAACGTTATTTAAGAAGTCTCTAGAGAAACTAAAAAAACTACAGGAAAGACAAAAACAAAGATACCAGAGGAAATTGTAACCTCTGAAACTTAGAGCACACAATAAGCCAGATTAACCTGTAACCAGCAAAACATAAAACCTCACACTAAAGGGCTATTTATTTCAGTTTATTTTAGTGTATTTTGTTGAGCTTTCAACAAGAAAACCATGAAGCATAGAAAAAGACAACAAAAAAAAGAGGCAGTTTGAAGAGACAGAGCAAGCATCAGAACTAGACTCAGATATTAGCAGAGGTATGGAATTGTGAGATCAAGAATTTAACACATGATTAAAAAGCCTGTGAAAAAGACAACATACAAGAATAAGTAGTAATGTAAGTAGAGAGACAAATTCTAACAATCAAAAGAAAATGCTGTAAATTAAAAACACTGTAACAGAAATGAAGAATGCCTTTAATGGGCTCCTTAATAGATAGACATGGTTGAAGGAAAAAAATCACTGAACTTCAAGAAATGTCCATATGAATTTCCAAACCTGAAATGCAAATAGAATAAAAGAATTAAAAAGAAAAGAATATCCAACAATTGTGGGACAACTACAATGGTGTAATATATGTGTAGTGGGAATATCAGAAAAAGAATAAGAGAAAGGAACAGAAAAAATATTTGATGACTAATGGCAATGATGAAGAGCAGTGAAACTGAGAGGATGGAAGACATATTTTCACATCATGGCTCGGCCATTTGCTCCCTGTGTGTATTGGAGGCTCCGTATAGATCCACTCTCCACCCTTCTTTATGCTTCTTTGGCCACAGATTGGCTGACTTGAATGAACATCAACAGGCCCCCATGTCCTCTGCTTTCCAGATAGATTTGGGCAGAAGAAAGCCTAAGCAGAAGATTAGAAGGAGAGACTTGAAGGAGATTAGGGCGTCTCTTTCCCTAGTTATCACCTTCCCCAGCATTGCCTCTATACCTCCTTTTATGAAAAGTCACAGGTCCTCTCAATGTAAATATCTCTAAAGGACTCTCTCTTAGTAGATTACCATCAACTACTCCCTTGCTTGCCTAGCTATGGACCTGGGGATGGTATTAGCTTCTGTTTTGCTAGCACCAGATCACTGCTCTAAACCTGTGATTCTGCCATATCTTTATGCCATTTTAAATAGTCACTTCATAAATAGATCCCTCTGCATTAAGCCTCTATATTGCCCTTTGTCTATCAAATGAGCATAAAAGCACTCATCCACAGTCCCCTATTGACAAATTTAAAATCAAGATTTGAAAGTGATTTTCTAGCTTATCTGGAAACCCCAATCCTTTATAGTTTATCATTTATTCCAGTTTGTTGAGAATTTCATGTGTCACTCTAGAAACTAATGTGTTTGATTATGAGATGATACGGCTTCCCTGGTAGCTCAGCTGGTAAAGAATCCACCTGCAATGTAGGAGACCCCAGTTCGATTCCTGGGTCCATAAGATCCTCTGGAGAAGGGATAGGTTACCCACTCCAGTATTCTTGGGCTTCTCTGGTGTTTCAGCTGGTAAAGAATCCGCCTGCAGTGTGGAAGACCTGGGTTCGATCCCTGGGTTGGGAAGATCCCCTGGTGAAGGGAATAGCTACCCACTTCAGTATTCTGGACTGGAGACTGTATAGTCCTTGTGGTCTCAAAGAGTCAGACATGACTGAGAAACTTTCACTTTCACATAAGATGATGTACCAAATCATGCTTGGGATGTTAAGTATACATAGTATACTCATACGATGTTTGACCTGTTTTGATCATCCGTTTCCCCATGAGTTTACGTAAGGGATATGTTTCTGTAGCATTGATGCTATAGAGTTGTGAAATTATGTACAATAATGCATGTATAGTTCTGAGCATGATGTCTCGCTTGCAATAAGAAATTAATGAAGGTTGACAGCTCTTTTTCCTTCAATGTGATTTATGATTTTTAATATTGTTAACTTCATATAAATTATTAAATTTTGCATTTAATTTTAGGTTTTTTAGACCTCTAAATAATGATTGGGATTTTTATAGAGAGACTCACCAAAAATATAAAAGACCATGGGCCATCCCAGGGAGTCACAGATGAATCCAGTGATAAGCAGGACAATACAGGGTCCTAGTAGAAGTCCTAATCAAAAGGCACAAGGAACACCCCTAGTGAATGCAGTCATCTGGAAATGGAGATAATGTAGCTTCATGGTGGCAGTGAACAACTTCTAGTGAAATATTGATATAATACCAAACAGAAGAAACTAATGAAATATTTGCTTTCTTCTCTTTATGCTGTTGTTAGAGATAAGGAAACCTCTTCTCTGTCCTAGACAGTTTCCACATATTTAAAGTGTGGATGGTTTCCAAAGCCCTTGACAGTTCAAAACACACATATTTCTTATGTTCTAGGGCAGAACATGCTACAGTGAGATGACAATGGGATTAAACATTCTAGGCCCTAAGTCATTACCTGACAAACTCAGAGAAGTAAGTCGGGTTAGTTCCAAGGGAGGAGCCCACTTGATCCATATTACTTGCTGAGTTGTTAAGGTTATCCCCTGAAAGAATGATTAGAACATTTGATCTCTGACATGTTCTGTGAATTTAAACTCTAGTTTTTGCATTATCTTTATTTTTTTAATTGGAGAAAAATCACTTTACAATGTTGTATTGGTTTCTGCTGTACAAGAATGTGAATCAGCCGTAATTATATGTACATCCCCTCCCTCTTGAGCCTGCATCTCCCTGACTCATCCTACCCCTTTAGGTCATCACAGGGCACCAGGCTGGGCTCCCTGTGTTAGACAGCAACTTCACACCAGATATCTATTTTTCACTTAGTAGTGCATATATGTCAATGCTACTTTCTCCACTCATCCCACTCTTGCCTTCCCCCACTGGGTCCACAAGTCCATTCTCTACATCTGTGTCTCCATTCCTTCCCTGCAAATAAGTTCCTCAATGCCATTTTCTAGATTCCATATATATGCATTAATATATGATATTTGTCTTTCTCTTTCTGACTTCACTCTGTATAACAAATTCTAGGTTCATCCACCTCACTAGAACTGAATAAAATTCATTCTTTTTATGGCTGAGTAATATTCTATTTTGCATTTTCTTTATACCTGGAACATTCCCTTGATTACTCGGCATATAATGACCCAAATTTCTCCAAGTTCAGCTGCAAGTGGGAGGAGCAGGGTAAATACAGAGCTGAGAAGTAATGCAAAACCAATCATTTTCTTTAAAGAGTATATTCCAGATAAATATCCTGAAGGAATTTGGCTGATGAGTATACCATAGAAGATGGAACTTAACATGATCCCCTGCATTTCAGTGCTCCAGTTATACACAGGGTTCTGAAAGAAAAAAAGGAGACGGGTCTAGTCACTTTGCAAATTTTCTATAATGTTCAGGAATGTGGGAAAACTGGTCTTCCAGTCTTCTAGCTTACCATATGTAAAATATCTGCCCTCTGCCTAATCTCCTCTGTTATATGACTTATTTATTCCTAATAACATCAATTTATGTGTGTAATTATGTTTTATCATTGGCATCCTCAACTATAACAAAGTCCTTGCTATAAAGGGCATCACCTGTTCCTCCCATACCTGTATAGCATAGACATTTAAAACGTTTGTTTTTTAAAAAAATTTAGATGAAATTGGCATATTAGTTTCAGGTGCACAACATGATTGGATATTTGCATATATTGAGAAATGATCACCACAGTAAGTCTAGTTAACATCCATGACAACATATGGTTCTAGTTCTAGTTGTGATGAAAACTTTTAAGATCTACTCTCTTAGCAACTTTCAACTATACAAGATAGTACTTTTAACTGTAGTCACCATGCCATATGCTACACCCTCATAACTTATTTTATAGCTGGTTGTTTGCAGTTTTTAACTCCTTTTACCCATTTTGCCCAGCTTCCCCAACCCCGTGCTACTAGCAACCACTAATCTATTCTCTGTGTCTAGGAGCTCGGTTTTGTTTAGATTTCACATATAAATGAGATTATATAGTAGTTGTCTTTGTCTTCATGGCAAATAGATGAAGAAACAGTGGAAACAGTGGCTGACTATTTTTCTGGGCTCCAAAATCACTGCAGATGGCGACTGCAGCCATGAAATTAAAAGACACTTACTCCTTGGAAGGAAAGTTATGACCAACCTAGACAGCATATTAAAAAGCAGAGACATTACTATGCCAACAGAGGTCTGTCTAGTCAAGGCTGTGGTTTTTCCAGTGGTCATGTATAGACATGAGAGTTGGACTATAAAGAAAGCTGAGTGCTGAAGAATTGATGCTTTTGAACTGTGGTGTTGGAGAAGACTCTTGAGAGTCCCTTGGACTGTGAGAGATCCAACCAGTCCATCCTGAAGGAGATCAGTCCTGGGTGTTCATTGGAAGGATTGATGTTGAAGCTGAAACTCCAATACTTTGGCCACCTGATGCGAAGAGCTGACTCATTTGAAAAGACCCTGATGCTGGGAAAGATTGAGGTCAGGAGGAGAAGGGGACGACAGAGGATGAGATGGTTTGGTGGCATCACCGACTCGATGGACATGGGTTTGGGTGAACTTCAGGAGTTGGTGATGGACAGGGAGGCCTGGCGTGTTGTGGTTCATGGGGTTGCAAAGAGTTGGACACAACTGAGTGACTGAACTGAACTGAACTGTCTTTGTCTGATTTATTTCACTTACTGCAGGGCCCTCAAGATCCATTCGTGTTGCAGCAAATGGCAATATTTCATACTTTTTATGTCCAAGTAATATTCTATTAAATATTAATACATTTATATTATCTATTCATTCATTAATGAATACTTAGGATATTGTAAATAATGCTGCAATGAACATGGGATGTAGATATTTTTTCAAGTTAGTGTTTTCTTTTGCTTTGGATAAATACCCAGAAGTAGAATTGCTGGATCATATGGCTATTTTTTTAAGAACCTTCATACACACTGTTTTTCATGGCAACTATAGTAATTTACATTATACCACCAATGCACTAGTGTTCCTGTCTTTCTACATCTTAGCCAATACAATATTTCTTATCTTTTTGATAATATCTATTATGACAGGTGTGAGGTGATATCTTATGGGTTTGAATACATTTCCATGATGATATTGAGCGCATTCTCTTGTGCCTGTTGACAAACTGGACGTTTTTCTCAGAAAAATGTCTATTTATAGCCTCTGCTCATTTTTGATTGGATTGTTTGAGTTCTTCATATATCTTGGATATTAATCCCTGATCAGATACATGATTTGCAAATATTTTCTCCCATTCAGTAGGTTGCCTTTTCATTTTATTGGTGATTTCCTTTGCCATGCAGAAGCTTTTAGTTTGATGTAGTCTCACTTGTTTATTTTTGCTTTTGTTGCCATTGACTTTGATGTCAAATCCAAAAAATCATAGCCAAGACTAATGTCAATGAGTTTTTCACTTATATTTTTAGTTTCATGGTTCTAGGTTTTAATGTTCCAATTTGGATTCATTTTAATTTTTGTGTCTGTTATAAGATAGGGGTCTAGTTTTTCCGACACCATTCATTGAAGAGATTGTCTGTTCATCATTGTAAATTCTTGACCCCTCTGTCATAGATTAATTGCCCACCTTATGTATGAGTTTATTTCTGGGCTACCTACTCTGCTTCATTGATCAACGTGTCTGTGTTTATTTCAATACCATACTTTCTTGATTATTATAGTTTTGGGATATAGTTTGTCATCAGAGGGCTTGATGCCTCTAACTTTGTTTTTCTTTCTTATTATTGCTTTGGCTATTTTGGGTCCATACAAACTGCACTGTTTGCTCTACTTCTGTAAAAAATGTAATTGGAATTTTGATAAAGATTACATCTAATCTTGACTTTTTAACAATGTGAATTCTTCCAATCTATGAGCACAAAATATCTATCCACTTGTATCTTCTTCAGTTTCTTTCATCAATGTCATGTAGTTTTTAGTGCATAGGTGTTTCACCTTCTTGATTAAATGCATTCCTGCATATTTTATTCTTTTTGATGCAATTGTAAATGGATTGTTTTCTTAATTTTATTTCTGCCAGTTTTTTATTCATGCATAGAAACACAAAAGATTTTTGTATATTGATTTTGTATCTCACAAGTTTACCAAATTCATTTATTAGCCCTAACAGTTTCCTTAGTGAAGTCTTTGGAATTTTCTATATATAATGTCATGTCATCTGCAAATAGTGACAAATTTTCTTCTTCGTTTACAGTTTGGATGCCCCTCCTTTTCTACCTTGCCTAATTGCTCTGGTGAAACCTTCCAACACTATGCTGAATAAAAGTGGTGGGAGTGGGCATCACTGTTTTTTTCCTGACATTGGAAGAAAAGCTTTCAGATTTTCACCATTAAGTATGATGTTATCTGTGGCCTTGTTACATTGCTGGTCTTTACTATGCTGAAGTATGTTCCCTTTATACTCACTTGCTGAGAATTTTTATCACAAATAGATACTACTTTTGTCAAGCCCTGCTGGCCACCAGAGCCAGGTGATCAAGGCAGCAGCTGCTAAAAAGAAAAAAGAAAAAAATATGGAGCACCAGAACAGGAGTGCCAGGAGCATGTAAAAGCTGCCCCTTTGGGAGATACTGGCTCTCTGGAGTACAGCAGAGAGAACACAAGGATGGCATTCATTGGCTTCCGTCCCCAAAGAGAAGGAACCCCAGCAGACCCTGATGTGTATTAAATCAGATGCTTGTGCCTCGAGTCAACAGTTTATGGTAAGCAAATAAGCCTCTTTCATAGAATGTCTTGGTGCTTTGCAAACAGCTGCTTCCATGCTGTGCCATGGGGTAGGTGAGTCCATGGACAAGCCATTTAAGAACCATTTCTCAGCTCCCTTTACCCTTATGGGACTTGTGTTTGTGAGCCCCGTTGGCTTTCAGAGCTAGACCTTTGGGTGGCTTATCTCAGGCACAGGGGTGATGCCCAATGCGGGGTTCAGACTCTTCACTCCTGAGGGGGGTGTCTTGCTGGGTCACCTTGCCAGGGGCTTACAGTGAAATTGTGTCTCAGCATTTCCTCTTGGTTATGGGCATTTTCTTGTTCTCCCGATGTGTAGGAATATTCAGCATTTGACTTTTTTCCAGAAGAAAATTTTCCATAGGTATCTGTATATTTGGTGTGTCTGTAGGAGGACGTGAGTCCAGGACATTTCTACAGGTTCATCTTCAGCATCTCTAATACTTATTTCTTAAATATTACTAAAATACATGCAAACTCCTCTGTAGAATACCATGTAGTACTACATTTATTGTAGTTATTAATTTCCGCTTGCCCCTTCTCATCCTTTTTCTCTATTCAGTTAACCTTGTTCACAAAACAACATATCCCCCTAACAACACACACACTGATCCCAGAGAGCAAAGTAGCAACAGAGAGAATATAAATCATGAAGAGAAGTTCTCAGGCTGAACTATGGGAATAATTGAATGGGATAATGAAGGAAAAAAGACCATTTCTCTTTTTTCACTTGGCTCTGATGCGGCATGTTTTGTTGTCTGTCTGAGGAGTGGGTTCCTCTGCCAGTTTTGGCTAGGGGGTCTTGCATAGTTTTGTTACTTTATTAAATCTGACTTAAGAAATTCTTAATATTGAACTTACAGTTTGGACTATGAGGAGGTTGCAATATTTTTGGACTCACTGCACAGGAAGAAATGTTAATTTTAGTAGGTGAGAACAAGATGAAAACTTCTTTGGAAATGTCTAAGATAGTCCTCCTCTAAACTGTCTATGTACTTGCATAATTAGTTTATTTTAGATAAAGAATGCATGTTCTAAATGGAACTCTTGGTTGACTATGAAATAATCAACTAGGTAGGAGACTGTTTGTTCTCTCATCACTATTATCTTGCACCCTTCATCCTTTGTCTCCCTTTCTCAAATCCCTGTCATCCTATAGCAGTAGATAGTGATGTCTTGTCTGATAGAAAGGACTTCCATGAGAGATTTGGTAGAAGCATCACTTTGAGTATATTGAATATTAATAGTGAGGGGCCTCTATATAGTAGTCAAGTGGTCATGGAAGCTCCAGATCTTTTTTATTGGTGGGAGATTACTCAGAGGATGGAACAAGATGCTCTGCCATATTATTCTAAATGACAGGTATTTTCCCAAGGGAATCAATATTCACCTTTCCCCATATCAGGTGATTCAGCACACATTTGCTAGACTCTCCCTGTGCAGATTATTCAGAATATTGGGTTGTTTTTCTCATGGCATAAAGCCATCACTCTTTATGGTGGAGTGTAGAAACAGAAGAAAAATGGGCACCATAGTTGAATTCAAACCACTCACCTCAGATGAAATTCCCCACACCAGAAGAATAAAACCTAAGTTGGTATTTCCATATTCAATCCATTAACTAGCTATCATTAAATAAAGTACTCTGTATATAAATATGTAAATTACCCTATATAAATCTTATGAATAAATATATATACATCTGTATGAGTCATATAAATGAAGAAATAGATAATATCCCAGTAGGTAAAATGGACTAAGTGTATCAATAGATAATTTCTAAGAGAAAAAAATGGTAATGGTCAAAAAATATAGATCACAGAAATATAAAAATGTACACATTCATTAATAAATTTTAAAGTTATCACAGAATTTCTATCAGATTGGTAAATTTTAAACAAAACAAAATAAAATAATTATATATATATTTTTGGCTGTTTTGGCAGAGGGAAGACAGGCTATTTCTCATTTATGTGTAACTTTCTCATCTTCCTTCCTTTTCTTTTCTATACTCAGTGTCCCTTATTGCGCTCTCTTTGGTTTCTGTTCTCTCTTGTTTTCCTTGTTATTTGCCTTCTTTTCTAAAATGTTCTGTCTAGTATTATCGTATCAGTTTTCTGAGTTCTGTCCATTTCTTTTTTTTCCCATTCACCCACTGTCTGAGCAGAGACTTCTATCACGGGGCCATCTCAGCTTTGAGTACCTAAATGTGCTACACTATAGTGTTCCTTCCTAGTTATAGTTACTTTGCTAGTTTGTAGGTTCATTTGTAATTTCAGTTTACAATTTAGGTCTGCTTTGGGAAAATAATCTTCTGGTGAGTTTTCATATTTGAGAATAATTATCTAATCTATTTCTTTATCTAGTACCTTTGTAGAGGAGAAAACTGAATTCCTTTTCTATGACTCTTACTGAAGAAGGTCAGTTCTCCTGGATTACAGCAGCAGATTCCTGGGGGGGAGGAGGGGGAGAGGGGAATGGTGAATGTGCCAAAGAATTCAAGCTTCATAGTTTGAGCTGCCCCTTCTTTTACTACAGTGAAGGAAATAAAATACAGCTTTTTTGAGTAGCCATTTCTCTAGAAAATGGGGTTCTTGATATTTAAACCAAGGCAATGGAATACTCAAGAATTAAAAACTTTTGAAAAAAATTGAGTTTTTGACAGATTTTTTGAGGTACAGTTGACACAATAAACTGTGTATTTAATCTTTGTTATAAAGTATACAACTTCTTAAATTCTTAAATGTGTAACTTCACAGGATATAGAATTTTAGTTTGGCAGGTTTTTTTTCTTTCAGTACTTTAGAGATTTCACTTCTCTATGTTTGAGTGGTATCTGATAAGAAATCTTCTGTAATTTTTATCCTTGTTCCTCTGTAGTTTTTTTCCTCCAGATTTATTTGAGATATTCTTTTTGTCTTGGTTTTCTGCAATTTAAATATGTATGTCTGGGTGGTAATTCTTGTTGTTCTTGGTTAATTTTCTTTTTAGTGTTTATCCTGTTTGGTGTTCTGAATTTGTGGTTTGGTGTCTGCCATTAACTTCAAAAAGTTCTCAGCCATTAATTTTTCAAATATTTCTTCTTTCCATTTTTCCTACTCTTTCTGATATTCTAATCAAGCACGTGTTACACCTTTTGGTATTGTCCACAGTTCTGGGGTGTTCTGCTTAGTTTTTTTAAAATCTTTTTCATTTTAGCTTGGGAAGTTCATATATTCAAGTTCACTGATTCCTTCCTCACCTGTGTTGATACTACAAATGAGCCCATCAAGGCATTCTTTATACCTGTTACAATTGCCATGATTTCTACTATTTCTTTTTTATTCTAGTAATATCCACCTCTGTATTGAAGTTACTTCTCTGGTATTGTATTCTTTTCCCATTAGACCCCTTGACATATTAATTATAGTTATTTTAAATTCCCTGTAGGAATTCCTACATATGTGTCAAATCTGAGACCCGGTTCTGATGCTTACGTTAAAAAAAAAATCAGGGTGCAGTACACTGCATATAGAGCATTACTCTTAGTGTAAATAGGGGTGAAAATAAGGAAATATTTTATTTGCTTGTGTATTAAAAAAGGGACATAAGGAAAGTATAGTGAAAAAATATTTTTTCCTATCTATTTCCATTTCTTTTTTACTACATCTTTTGACAGATAAGTTATCAACCCATTAGCTTCTGTAGGTGAAATTAACAAAACATTTAAATATACTGTATGTTAAAAACATAAATAAGAAAGAAAACATGTTGATTTCTGTTTCTCATTTAAGATGTTTTCCTTTTTTCTCTTGTCCAAACTTCTCTTGCCGTTAACAAATACTGAGACATATTTAGTCATGGGACATCTTCATTTAGGTTACTACTGATGAGGTAGATCAAGACTTGAGCTTCTTTTTTGAATAATTACTATCATATCAATTATGACAACATTCAATCTCTACACAAATTAGTTAGCAAGATAGGATTTTAAACTTATGACTGTGTATAATATTTTTGATATACCTTTATGTTATCCTGGAGCTCCTTTGTGGAGGTGTTGGACAAACCATGTGGCTCCGTGTTGTTCACCATGGCTATCATTGTGAGGCTCATAGACACACGCTGTGACATTACTATAACATTACAGAGGAGCAGGAAGACAGCGATTCCATAACGAATGGAACAAAAGTGTGGAACTAGAATGTACGACAGAAAATATCCATTGTTAACACAGCTGATGAAAAAAACATATTTTAACATTAGGGGTCCAAATTTCCGAATGGCCCTTCCTAATGTTTATTTTAAAGGGACTATTTTTAAAAACACCCTGAGTTACTCTTGGAAATAAGTCCCCTGAATAGCAAGATCTTCCCTCAAGTAAACTACTTTATTCTCAAAACTTACATGACTAGTCTGATTGAGAAACTCAAATGTGCACGTTGCAGAAGAAAGTTGCATTTAAAAAAATTTAATGTGTAATGTAATTGGCTTCCAATTAAAATAAATAATTTTTTAAAAAAGTAATGTATTTGAGATAGCTTCAAGCTACAGTAATCAATGCAGTGTTAGTGTGAGACCAAACAAATTCATTTATAGGAGAAAATAGGGAGTCCAGAAAGAGAGGAGTATATATGATCATATGTTTTTGAATAAATGCACTAATGCAATTTAATGGAAGATGTTAGTCTTTTCAACAAATAAATGGCCTTTCTCAAGAGAAATAAAAATATATATCTACTAAAGGCTTGTACTGAATTGTTTATGGCAGCTTTATTTAAAATAGCTGGATCTTTGGAGTAGATGAACATACTGTAGTATATTAATACAATGGATATTACTCAGAAATGCAAAGGAAGGAAACATTGATACACTCAACAATCTGGATGAATCTCAACAAACATTTGCTCAGCTAAAGAAGCTAGACACCAAAGAGTGAATACCATTTTTATGCATGTTATTTCTATGAATTTCAAAAATAGGCAAAATTAATTTATGTGGCTAGATATTAAATAGCAATTCCCTTTTGGTAAGGAGGGCAAAGGGACATCATGTGACTTTAAACTAATGTAATGTTCTATGAGTCTTGTTTGTAAGTTTATACATTTCTCAAAGCACATCTAAATATACACTTAAGATCCATATTTTATTTTATGTAATTATACTTCAATAAATATTAAAATATTCAATAATGGTGTTGGGAAAACTGGACAATCACATGCGAAAGAATGAAACCGGACCACTCTCTTATACCATATACAAAAATTAAGTCAAAATGGATTAAAATTTGAACTCAAGACATGAAATCATAAAACTTCTAGAAAAATATATAGATGGTAAATTCCCTGACATAGGTCTTGGCAATGATTTTTTAATAAGACACCAAAAGCAAAAGCAGAGAAAGCAAAAATGAACAAAGAGCACTATATCAAACTAAAAGTCTTTGGCACAGCAAAGGAAATTATAAACAAAATGGAAGGGCGACCTACTGAATGGGGGAAGACATTTGCAAATCATTTATCTGATAAGGGGTTAGACTGCAAAAAATAAAAAGAACCCAATTTTGTTTTTATTCTGTCTTGGGATATAGCCAATTAACCAACAGTGTGACAGTTTCAGGTGGACATCAGAAGGACAGCCACACAAATACGTGTATCAACTCTCCCTCAAACTCTCTTCCCATCCATGCTGCCACATAACATTGAGCAGAGTAAAAATAACCCACACAATTTAACAGGAAAAAATTTTTTAAAAAAGCAAAAACAAAAAACTCTGATTAAGAAATGGGCAGAACTGAAGAGACATTTTTCCAAAGAAGACATGCATGTGGTTAGGAGGTACATGAAAAGATGTTCAGCATCACTCATCATTAGGGAAATGCAAATCAAAACCATAACGGGATAGCATCTTACACCTGTTAAAATGACTTTTATCAGAAAAGGTAAGAAATGAGTGTTGGCAAGGATGTGGACATTTTTGGACTTCCGGTTGGTCCAGTGGTTAAGATCAGTGCCTGCACCACAGGGGTTGTGGGTTCCATCTCTCCTGTGTGAAACTAAGATCCCGCATGCCCTGCAGTGCGGATAAAAATTTAAAAATACAAAAAAAAAAAAAAAAAGCATGTGTAGTAGGCAGAATAATGCCCCAGTCACCACATACATCAAAAAAAATTGTATGGAGAAACTATGATCACATATCAGATTGGCATAGATCCAAAAGCACACTTGTTGGCAAGCCTGAAAGAAAAGAAGATGGAACCTCCATTATTACAACCCAGTGGAGGTTTTAAATTGTCTGTGGTTAGTATAAAGAAATAATTTTTTGGCAACACCATGCAGCAGGGGGTTAGTTCCCCCATCAGGGATTGAATTTGCACCCCAGGCATTGGAAGCTTGGAGTCTTAGCCACTGGTCAGTCAGGGAAGGTCCAAGAAATTAAATATCACTTTTAATTATTGATGTTATATCCAGGTAGCTAGCCAAAAGTTAATCTTGTTTCTGAAAATTCATCTCCTAATTTGGAGAGGTTTTCTATGTACGGAATGTGCAAATTATGATTTTATCTCCTCTTTTCCTATCCTTTCTGTCTTTAACTTCATGGTATCATTGCATCAGAACCACGAGTGTATTACTGATTGTTATCAAGTAGTTCTGGTTTTATGCCATTGTTCCTGATTTACACAGAGTGATTCTAATGTTTGTACATTTTGGATAATGTTTGTTGGAGGTTCTGTTGTAGATATGCTTTATGAAGTGTATTTGTTTCTATTGCTATGTTAAAAAATTTTCACAAACTTAATGACTTAAAAAGGCACCCTTTTAATAAAAGGTTCACAATTCTGCAGGTTATAAGTTTTAGCATGATGTGGTTGAATTTTTCAATCCTGGTCTCAAAGGTCAAAATCAAATGATCAGGCAGGATGAGTTCTTAGGTGGAGGTTCCCTGGAAGGAACTATTAGAAGAGTTCAGTTTTCTGTGGTTGTTGTACTTCTGTTGCCATTTCCCTGCTGTCAGCTAAGAGTTACTTTCAGTTTTAAGATGCTGTGCATTATGCTGCTTGTCACATGGCCCCTTCTATCCCCAAAACCAGCAAGGAAGAATCTCTTCTGTTAAATCCCTCTTGTGCTTTGAATCTCTCTAGCGGCTCTCTGACCTCTAGATCCAGATTTAAAGAACTCCTGTGATTAGATCAGTCCTACCTGGATTTAAGATCAGCTGATTATGGACCATGCTTAGATCTGCAACATCCCTTTAAGCAGCACCTACCTTGGCATTTGCTTAAATAACTGGAGGATGGTATATGTACACCAGGGACCAGAATCTTGTGGGCAATCTTAGAACAATTCACTCTCTGGTCCCAGAAGATCCATGTTCATGCCATATGCAAAACATACTCACCCCATCCCAAGGTTCCTTAAGGTCTAAATCCTCATCAAAATGTCAGCTCAAATTTGCAAAATTTAAAACAAATATGGATGAAGTTTCTAAAAGTAAGCCACTATGGGTACAGTATCTATCAGGGAACTTGTGAAATTAGAGAGACAAGTTACACACTTGCAATGTTTCCACTTACAATGGTGGGACAGGCATAGAATAACTGATACAGACATTCCAGTTTCAAAAGGGGGAGAAATGGAGTGTAAAAAGAAGTCACTGATCAATAAGAGTTTTGAAGTTCAGCTAGACAAGTGCTGAACTTTTCTTGAGGCCTGGGGATAATCCTTGTGGCCCTTGGCTCTGCCCTCTGAGCTCTCCGCTTTATCCTCTGCCCTTTGGTTCCACCCAAGAGTGCAAAGGAGCCATGTTAGAGTACTGTCCATCACATATTCATAGTTACATTAGGTAACATTCATCGGGGATGAATGTTAATTTCATAAAGATTTTTTTGTATCTAATGAGATCATCATATAGTTTTCTTCTTTAATTTGTATTGAATGACAATTATTTACTTTGTAATAGAAAACTGTTCTTTCATTTCTAGGATTGATTGGACTTAGTTTTTGTGATTTAAAATATTTTTTTTTAAAAATTATGTTTTGCTAATGTTTTATTAGGATTTTTGTACCTTTTAAAAATAGTGTTAATTTTGCTTTACATATTTGAGTCTATTTAGTTACACAAGTTTTTTTTTAGTAATCCGACTGAATTGAAATTTGTAACATTGTACATTTTTGAAGAATTGTTTGAAACAGTAGATTTTAAATTAGATAAATCAGCAATTATCTAACTAAATAAATTAGATAAATTTATCTAAATTATCTAGTTATCTATCCAATAAATTATCTAGTTAAATAAACTATAATATAGTCATACCACATTCATATGCAACTCTAAAAAATGATGAGGAAGCTCTTTCTGTACAACTGTAGGATTCCATTTAGATACATTGTTCAGTGAAAAAAGTAACATTAGTACCTGGAAAATTAGTTTCTTGACAGATCTCCCTTTCTAAACAGATAAGAATATTAGATAAAAATTTAGTTAAAGTTAACAGTTCATTGAAAGTGTGAATGATCTGGCAGGAAAGATGAGATACTCAGGCCAATTGCTTTTGTGAAGACAGAGTCCTCAAGGCATAGACAGATCATTGAAGGCACATTTTTCCCTGAAGACATTTGAACTCAGGGTGCTTTTTGCCTCCCAGAAAATGGGGCAACAGGAATCAGATACCAATGCCCTGGCAGTGGAAGAGTCCAGTAAGTGACCCTTTCCTTAAATGTTTAGATGCCAAAGACTTGCTGAGTCAGTGAGGGGAAAAATCCATTGCCTCCTAACCTTTTCCAGGAGGCAAAAATTTTTGCCCTGTTTGAACCTTGAGACTGAGCAAAAGGAAGAAAAAAATGCCTCAGAAATTTAATCATTACCCAGCCCTTCCTTTGCCTTGAAACTCACTGGCCTTGGGTCATCTGCAAAACATTTCAAACCACACATGTATACATGCACACTGAGATGACTTGCTCCAAAGCTTTGTGAAAAACCTCATTCTTTTAAAAATTCTCAAAAGCAAAAGGGAAATAAGTAGACCCCAAAATCTGAAGGAAACAGTGGGAAAATTCCTAGAGGAGAAAAAAAAGCCTCTAGAGGGCAAAGGGGAAGCTATCCTCACCATGTGTGGAATAGGGCTTGTCATGGTCAATTAAGGGTACCCTTCCAAGTTTTGTTCATTTTTTTCTCTTCTACACTGCTCCAGAAAGAATATGAATTACTTCTAAATAAGTCTTGAATTTGAAAAGGAATCATAGGAGTTTAAAAAGGAATATTAAAAAAATGTATATGTGTGTTTAACAGTCACTTTGCTATACAGCAGAAATTAGCATAACATTGTAAATCAACTATATGTCAATAAAAACAAAGAACAAAAAATCTGAAACTCAAAAGAAGAAATCACACACACACACACACACACAAAAAAAAAGAAATCACACACAAAAAGGGAAATCACAAGGAGTGTTCTAAAGTGCCTGGGACTGAGTAACAGTAAGATACTACACGTCAATCTCTGGAAAGAGTAAATTCTACACCTCAGAACATATTTATTAAAAAAGAGAGAACTCAAAGACTTGGAAAATGAACAATGGATGAACCCAAAGATCCTAAAAAGAAGTAAATGTTAAACATAAAGGGAGAAATCAATTTTATATACATATATATATATGCTTATATCATTTATATGTTCACATATAATTAAAATTCCATGGATAGAGGAGCCTGGTGGGCTATAGTCCACAGGGTCACAAAGAGTTGGACACATCTGAGCACACAGACACTAGACTAGATAATTTGAATACAAAGGAACAATATGAAAATACCAAAATAATTAACTATCAAAACTGACACAAGAAGAAATATAAAATTTAATAGGCCACTAACATTTATATAAATTGAAAAAATATGCAATTTGTTGCCCTCCCTCTTTTCTAGGATTTTTGTCCCCCATAGTGTGGATATAACCCTAATCTGATAGCAGTAATTCCATATTGTTTTTCCCCTGCCCTGCTTGAGATAAACAATCTAAAAACTATCCTGTAAATATTCCAGCTGTTGATGTTGAAGGGTACAGTGACTCAAGAACATTCATCCTGCCTCACTTCCATCCATGTATCTGTCTCTGTCTCCTTGAGATAGAACCAAAATAATCCCCTCTCTTTCTAACATTCTCCACCAAGTGATAAACTGACAGGTGTATAAGAATCAAAATAACAGTGTGAATAATCTTGGTACATGGGTTATTTTATTTAGGGTTTTTCTAATGGAAAATCATTGCAGGGATATTTTCCCCCGACCTCCTTTCCTGAACATTTCTAAGACCCTTTACATTTTAGTCCATATGTTTAGGGACAAAATCTTTTCACATGGAATCAATGGCGTCCTGTTTAAGAAGAAGGAAGCCTATGTGATAGAGAATAATTTCTACCTTTCCCTGGAGAGACCTGGTTATCCACTTGCATAATGGTGTTATGGTTGCTTTTCTTCTTGCTGCAGAGTTTGTTTTCTATCTCCTGCAAGTGCAAAACACACTGATGTCAGCATTACAGAGGGAAGAACTGGTTAAAATCCACCTAGCACCTCTCTCTGCTTTAAAACATTAATCCAAGGGAAACTTGCTTTGTCATACCAGTACCCATTGTTTTGACATTTCACTTTTATGATATTTTTGTTGATTACAAAAATACACAGAAAACCTGAAAACTCTAAAAAGCAAACAAGACATCCTGCCAAGTCATAATTCTATATCCAGTGAAGATATCCCTCACAAGTGAAGGAGAAATACTGTCAAACAAAATTGAGAGAATTTATTGCCAGGAAATCTACCCTGTAGGAATGTGAAGGGAAGCTTTTCAGACAGAAGCATATTACTGAAGGTAGCTCGTCGTAAAGAACTTGCCTACAATGCAGGAGATGAGGCAGAAGCCTCAGGTTCCATTCCTGGGTCAGGAAGACCCCCCAGACAAGGAAATGGCAACCCATTCCAGTATTCTTGCCTGGGAAATACCAAGGACAGCCCATGAGGTCACAAAAGAAGCAGACTTGACTTAGCAACTAAACAACAAACTTGGATGTACAAAAAGAAAGGAAGGATGTCAGAAAAGGAATTAAAGGTAACATACAGTTCTTTGTTTTTCTTATATCTTCACAGAGCTAAACGATTTGTTTTTTAAAAATGCTTTTACAAGGAGAGGTAAATCATTCTCCCCACTACCCTGGACAAAATGACCCCTCCTGCCAGGTCTGCATTTGTTGGTGGGAAGCTCGACAAAGTGGATGAATCAAAGAGTTTTGTCTATATTAGCATGTATGACATCAGATGCTCAAAAAATACTTAAAATTTCTAAGGCTGGGTTTGCAAAGTATATATAAATGAGCAGTCTTGTCAACCACCATTATTACCCACTGGGACATCTGGGGCTGCCGTTTATTTCAGTATACACACACACACCACCACCGTCACAAGCACACTCTCCACGCCACTCACACATACACAAGCATTAACCACCACACAATACACACTTCTCTTTCCTTGTCTATTGACATAACTATCCACCTCAAACTCATCCCTAGGAATGTTTTTTTCTTTCCCTTGTGAAAAATCTATAAAAAGAGATATTTTTTCCAACTCCCCCGTCCAAATTTCCCCAAATTGCTAAATAGCTTTGATAAAATCTCTCGTAGAAGCCCTCCTTATTAATCCTTCTGGGGAATTAGTTCTAAACTTCACTTAATGAATAACATAAAAGCATTTAGTTACTAACCTGACTTAGGACAGAAAAGCAATTCCTTTTTGCCCTGTGAAGACTTTCCTCTCAAATTGAAAAAATATTGAATTTCTGGATGTGCTAATTTCAGCCACTTAAATCCTTCATCATATCCTTTGATCTCCCTAGGTCAAAGTTGAAAATTTAATTTTTAACTTCACTTACATTCTTGCCTTGAATCTTCAGGGGAGGGGAGGGAGTCTTAAAATCATCCAATGGACTAGAAACCTCCTAGAAATCTGCCAGTCATTTCATGACTTTAATAGACAGACGCCCACCCCACAACCAGCTTAGCTGCCCCGCCCCCCAGGCTCCTTCTCTACCAGGAGGCAGAACCTGCCTGTCCCATAAGAGTTTCCAGGATTTTTCTATTGAAGATGGCTCCGTGTCTACACTGCTGTTTTGACAGGCATGCTATGGGTTTCTAAATGCTTTATAAATGTCCTACTGGCTTTCTGGCCCATCTTCCTTCCCTCCCTTCTTTCCATCCTTCCTTCTCCCCTCCTTTCCCTTCGCCCCTCCTGTTTCCTCTCCTCTTCCTCTCCCCATCCCCCCTCAACTCTTCCGAAGGTCACATCTGTTTGATATTCAAGCTACTCAGAGGGAGGGGCATTTTACTGAGCTGTGTTCACTGAGGACTGTGAATTTCCTCATGGCTTTTCCTGCAATGACTAAGTTCTCCTGGTTCAGCCTCCTGTCTACAGCAGTACTTGGGAGCAAGTACTGGAAATTTTTGAAGACAAGCTACTGAGTAGATAGGGACATTGAAGCCCTGAAATCAAACATTTTGCACCATAATTTCCTACATACTGAAGCATTTAAAAATTTATTATGCTTTTAATGTGCTTAATATATGTTTGGCACATAGAAGATGCTCTATAACATGATCAGGTTATTTTCTATCTAAGGAAATGTTGAAACAGAAGTACAGTCACAGATATAGAAAACAAACTTATGGGTACCAGAGGGTAAGTGGGAGAGAGATAAATTGGAAAATTGCGATTGACATATACATACTACTATATATAAAATATATAACTAATAAGGACCTATTGTGTAGCATAGGGAACTTAATACTCTGTAATGGCCTATATGGGAAAGAACTTTAAAAGATTGGCTATATATACAACTTGTAATTTATACATGTATATATATATATATATATATATATATATATATATAACTGATTCACTTTTCTGTACACCTGAAACTCATACAACATTGTAAATCAACTATACTCCAATAAAAATATATTTTTTTAAATGTTGAAAACTTTAACTCATTTGCCCAAGAGTCTTTGATACCTTGTCATATTCACCTAGATTTTTTTTCTTTTTCTGAAGTCCAGGTTGTGCTAATTTTTATCTGGCTCTTTCAGGATGTTTTTACTATTTGTCCTATCTGACACAAAGGCTGTCAATTTCTGACATTTTATGGGATAGGGGCCCATTTATTGACTGAAAGTTCTAGGTCAACAGTTGTTTAAGGTCCATGTTTTAAGCAAACAACCTTCCCATCTGGTGTCAATATCCCCAGGTCTAGGTACTGATTACCTAGGAGGGAACCATCATTCTGTTTGCTGACCCCAAAGCTTTATACTGCTTTGTGATACCCTTTGAAATTGCTTCTGGATTCTACATCTGGATTCAGTGTTTTCCTTATTAAGTTTTAAAGTTTAACATTTTATTATGTAAAATTTCAAACACATAGGAAAAAAAGTAGATCAATCTAATATAACCATAGACCCATTAACCAGTTTCCACAATTTTCAATATTTGGCCATTTGACTTTCCATATACCATACCCAGCAGTGGTTTTCTGTATTATATCATGTCATTTCTCCAACAAAAAGTACAGCATGGCTATATAATTCATTAGGACTTGGGAAAACATAACATACCATCATCACATCTAATAAGCAATAATATCATCTTAATATCATCTAATATCATGGAAATTTTCCTAATTGCTTCAAAATTATTCATTTATACTCTATTTAAATGAGGATCCAAACAAGAAACACATGACACTTAATTGCTATGGCTCTCAGGTCTAATTTCATAACAATCCTTCCACCCACCCGCATTTTCTATTTGCTGTTATTTAAAACAGTACAACAAAAGAGTCATTTGCAGAATTATTCTCATAATTGATTTGACTAATTGCATCCTATGTCATTTGATATATTTCTTTATCCCCTTACATCCTGAAAACTCTGGGTACGTAGAGTTGGTTAGATTCAGGAGAAGAGTACTTCATAGGGGTGTCTGATGCTTTCACCACAGCAGGTTGTCTCACTTTTAGTAAGACTGACCAGTGGGCTCAGGTATTCTCAGCTTGACTTATCCACTAACAAAGTACTCATCAACCTTCCACCTGTGGTTTTTTAGTGGTTGTTAAATGTTACCTAGAATTGTTATTTCATTATAAATTGCAAAATGGTGAACTTTAGAATACTAGTGTGCCTTCATTTATGAGCTGTAATTTTCTACAAAATAGGAAATTCACCTAGTCAAATATTTGGTTACCCTGAAATACAGATTTAATAGGAAAGCCAGGATAAATACTTAAAACTTTTCAGAGTAATAATTCAGTGCCTTATTAAAGATGACCAAGTAAAATGACCTCATGGAATCACAGTCCTTACTCTATCTTGATGCTCAAATTATCTCTTCTTTGGCCAGCAGGAGTCCCTTCAAGCTGACTCCTATGTCATTATGACATGACCCTAGTGATCTTGGATAGCTTGTTTTCTAGCACACACTATTTTCTAGGGTTCTCATGTATTTTCTGTTCCCAGATCTGGACTTTCTGAAGGAGTGCTGGTTCCTTTCAGAAGGAAACAATATTAAGAGACCACATACTGGGCACTGGGGTGCATCTAGGCTATTTCAGTGGAAGAACTCAGAAAAAATATTTTTTAGAAAAAAAACAAATTCTAATATTTCCAATTCAAATTGAATATTAGAGCAATTTTTTAAAAAGTTAAATTTTATACTCTTGCATTTTCCCCTTATGTTGAACACCTTGGTTCTTAATTACTTTTCTTGCTTTATTGTAATATAATCATATTAACATCAAAATAACACTGACATTATTACTCAAATAAATTTTTTTGCCTCTTTTAGAAGCAGACCTTGAGATCAAGATTCCTGTAAAAGTGATTTAATAGGTAGTATTTTCAGAAAAACAATAATGACAGTAGGGAAGTAGGGAGAAAAAGAAAGGCGTGCAAACAAGGGTGTGATAAAAACCTAAATCTGGAGGAAGGTAATTTGGGGTTAATTCTTCAAGGGAGCAATGGGCATAACTTAAGCCATACCTCAGAGTTTTTCTAACCAAAGCTAAAGAAGTTGGAGTATTTATATGCCAGCATCTATCTATCACTGGCCAAGGGCTGCCTCCAGGAGGTCCTGAGTCCCCAGGCACTTCTTTCAGTGAGTATAGGTCAAGTAGGTTCCAGCAGCCGAAGGACAGCCCTCAAACCAAGTGATGGGTGTCCTGGCTATTGCCAGTGAAAGCACAAGGGGCATTGGTATTCATGCCCCAAAATGTAAAAGACCCCAGAAGATATGGGCAGAGCACTGACAGCTTGCTATTCTTCACACTGTCCAGTTCCATTCTCTTTTCAATGAAGTTCATAGCACTGATTCTTTAGGAAGAAAAGATTAATGAAACATTTACACACCCGCAGC